AACCCCACGTTGAAGCGGGGAAAACCTGCGACTAGCCTCCCCTGAGGAGGAAGGAGCGGGACTGTCTTCACCCCCCATTCCCTGCCCCCTGTGCCACCGGGGGGGAGAAGGTACAGAACAAAGCCTTTGGGCTTTGGGAAGAAGGGAGGGGTGGGGGAGAAGTGCCTTTCTTGTAAGATGTGGTTTTTCTCTCTCTCAGTATCCTGCTTCTTGTTGTAAATAGTTAATAAATTTAATTGCTTTCTTGTTCTTCACAAGTCGTGTTGGTTTCTTGCCCTTGACCCTAAGTGGTGAGTGAAACCCTCCCTGTCCCTGCCTCAGCCCACCAGGTGTTTAACAAAAACTGTCCCCGTGGCTTTATAAATCATGACAGGACTATATCAACTTATCCAAATACTTGTTAACACCTTTGAAGAACCTAAGTAGGTTCATAAGCAAGATCTCCCTTTAAAAAAAAAAGCCATGCTGACTTTACAAGCACATCATTTTTATCCATGTGACCTCTGATGTTTCTATAGTCTTAATTAACATCTACTTCTCCCTCATTTTATTTAGTGAAAGTTCTTGAACTAAATTTCCACTACAGCAATCTCTCCACGAGCCAATACGAAAGGCCCTATAGCCCAGATCAGGGAAAAAAAAATAATCAAGATAACAAGATAATACCAGTACATTAAGCCCCATCAAGGAGAATGGCAGAGTTACCCAATCTCTGTGATCAGTCCTCATCACTGCAGAGTTTCTTAGCTTTGGCATACCTTACTTCACAGAAGTCTTGGTAGTTTCTGCATGCCCATCAACTGGTATCTTTGCACTCCAGATTCCCAGAGGATTAGTTTGTTCATACAAAATACCAAACGAAATAAAAGCAGGACTGCTGACATAATATTGCCCTGAAAGGCTACTGAGCAAGATACCACGCAGTCTAGAATTCCACAGTGTCTTACCTTGGGTTAGTGAGATTGTAGCAGGATTTCCAAATCTGGAGCATGTGTTTACAGCTAAGGAGCGCTTCATCTGGGCCTCTGCACAGGGACTCCAATTTGACTTTTGTAAACAGCAATCTAGTGAAAAGAGAAAGGTAATTAAAAGAGAAAGACAAGATATTCCAATTCAAGCAAAACATTTTTAAAGATAGCCAACATCACACCAAACTGGAAAAAACATAACTTCAAAGACAGTGTTAATTTACATAATTGTTTCATGAAATAATTGCAATAAAGTCAAATATCTAGTGTCACCAAAGTAACAGTGCTTTTTACAAGATGGCATTTTTAACTGGATAGAAACAACAGTTGACAGGATTTTTAAATTTTTTTAAAAAGTTAAGCAAGACAATATAGCTTAGTGAAATAAGTAGGACCACTAAAAACAGTACTTCATCTGTTGAAAAGAGACATCTTCACTAAAGAAAATCTTCACTACTTTTATGAGAAAGGAAAGTATTTTCCAGTAACTAGCTCAGGTGATAGTTATCTAACATACGACTCACAAAAGAAAATAACTCCGTACTGATGCACATTACTTCTCTATAATATCAACTTCTATTATAGGAAATGGAAGAGGCTATATTGAAAAATATACCACTAGAGCAGACAGATTCATGGGAGGTAGTCAGCACTGGTAAGGTCAACAAGAAAATGTAGCTCCACTCTACATTATGCTGCTATCGGCAGGCACTAAAATTGATGTTTGACTTGAATTTTGAACATTTTGAACACTGACAAGTGACAACCTTAAGAAAGCACCCTATTCATCAAATACGTAGCAAATTATTCATAATGAAAGCAAATATGTTTGCCAGAAGCCATTATAAATTAATTCTAATTTCAAAATTGATGTTTCCAATGGCAGCAAGACAAATAAAGTGCATAGCCTTGTAAGATGACAACTGCATATTCCTTTTACATTCCATGTATCAGTAGAAGGTTCTCCACAGAGATTAACTTAGACATCTTCCTGGATAATTAAAGAGTATAAATGCAAAGGGACAGTAAAGGAGCTAGTCAATTGGTATGCACGTTTATAGGAGTCACAGCATCTGGGAACAGATAATATAATGGAAAAATACTAATTTAAAAGTGATTTTTAATAAATCACAAGATAAAAAGAGCACAAAGCAGGAGAGGATGCACATAAAACTGTTAGCCTACTTTCTGTTTTTAAACCCAGGTGTACTTTGGCATTTTATTCTAGTGAAAAACTTAAATGATTGGTCATATGGTTTGCGTGGGAAGACCGAGAAGGGTGTAGAGGGTGGGCAAGTGTGAAAGCTCAGAACTTTCTCATCCCAAATACAAACTTCGAGGCTGCTAATAGTAACCGCAAACTGCCAGAGGGTTTTCTCAAGAATAAGAAATTACATCAAGTGTCTCAGCAAGTTACAGTAGCTCAAGCTTTAGTGTTGCATGGAATGTCCTTTGCAGAAACTACCCAGCACGTAAATCTAAAAATGAATTATACTACCTTAATTGTACAATGTGTGTGTTGGTGGAACTGAGCAGGAAATGAAAGGCAGGTCACTGAGTTAGTTTAAGAGAATGAGCACCTGTGGATAAGCAAGGTAAATAAGGTTGTATGGAGTCTCACCTGATATCTTGTAGGAATGCAGAACATAGTAATCACTTACTCCAGTTTAGTTTTCTTCCTATCGGTATACCAGATTTGAGTACACAGGGAACTACATAGATAATTTAAAGTCACATTTCATTTGGTAGAGTGGTCCTCTCCAGTTATGCATTTAACTGTGACTATATCACTGGAAGAAAAAATGTCCAGGTCTGTCCATTATTCTACTCAAGAGAGAAGGAAAACAAAAAACATCCTCTTCCCCTCACACTGAGACACATGCACACACACTCTCTCTCTCTCCCCTGCCCTGCCCAAACAACAAGACCTAGGCATTAAAAGCCAAACCCAACATCACAGGAATCTACCTCATGCAACCTGTTTCCTGTTCCTCTGTATGTAAAAAGAAGAGTACTTTTTACAGTTCAAAGGGCCTATAGAAGTTCATTTTTTAAAAAAATGTGATCATAAAGCACTTTACAGAAGTCATGGAACATAATAAATCCAGAAGCACTGAATTTACAAGTCATTCTAGAAAGAAGATAATCATAATATATACCTTATGTACAGTTTACAGATAGACTGAATTTACACTAACAGCCTTCAAGCATTTAAGACTTTCAGGAATTCTGTAGCCGAGAGAAGGCACAGGGTCAGTAAACCACTAAGATTCAATATGCAAGAGCTAAAAGAAAAATTGGACAGGAGACAGAAAGGGAGGAGATTTGATTATTAATAAATGACTTAAACACGTGTACAAAATAGCAGGAGTCTGTGCAACAAAAATGTAAGAACCTGACTAATAGTGCAGGATTCAAGGGCAAGATAGCAGAAGACATATACTAGTAGTAAGAATTAAGGCAACACATCAGAGTTTGATGCTTTCGGATGCATTTGGTACACATGTAACATCATCCCTGTTCTTATGCATTACAATCAAGGGGGGCTGGATGGTTGCACATGTCCCAAAATACCAGCAATAAACAAAGTATGATGGAAAAATATTCATAATTGTAATAAAGAAAGGCTAGACAACTGTATCTAAAGCGAGGGGGGGGGGGAAGTACATTGGCGTGGGATTATCCACACTGAACCGAACAATTTTTTTAATAGAAAAGGTTGCATTTATAAAGCCACACAGAGTAGCTTCCCTTGGTCCAAGAAACATTTTGAGTATAAGTCACAAAATAACTAAGACATTTCAGAAAACTGAGATGGGGTGTCAATCACAAAATGAAAACCTGACAACTAAACATTTACTTAACAAATGGGGGAAGTAAGGGAAGAAAGAGGAAGGAGGCAATGGGCAGGAGGAACACCATGTGACAATTTGGTCTCCCAAATTAACTTAATTCTTCCAAGTTCCCCTGAAATATGGCTGGAGGTACAAGTCGATAACAAGATAAACAAGCAGCTCAGGGACAAGTATTATCAGGAAGGTTTTAGAAAACACGAGGCAGACCATCTGAAAAATGATTTTCTGAAAGGTCAGCTTCACGCATCTCTGGAAACAACTCTTCTGGAATACAGCCTGCATTAGTGACACAGAGAATTTTAAACTTTACAGGAACATTTTCACACCTGTTTTTAATGCACTATTAAAAATGGTGAAGCATGGATAAAAATTACCAAAAGACAGGATGATGAAAATCAAGCTGTACGTTTTATGAGTATCACAAATTATCTGGTTCTGTCTAAGAGCCAGAGGTTTAAATTACCGGCACACAAAATGTGCCAAACAAAACATGACAGAGTGAAAAACAGCATGGTGGGACAGCACTCGTGGCTAAGAGTGCAAGGACCAAGGAATAGACAATATCCAAAATAGAAATGAAGAGTAGAACAATGTGTGTCAGCCATGTGTCAAACTAGAAAAAATATAACAGATATGAAGAACAGAAAGATGTTTGGGTCAAATCCTTTGAGAGAGGGAAGCAGGTAAAACAGGTTCTATTAAAGACGTCAGACTAATGGGCATTTGTTCCAGCATCAGTGTTTGATATGAATGCAGATCTTTAGCGTTAGATAAAAATAAAGTGAACTGTATCATTTGAGGAGACTAATTATCCAGACACAAAATGGAGAACAAATCAAACTCTTAAGTGGAAAGGCTTAGTTATTCTTGGAGCTAATAGCTGATAAATTTATGAAATAGCTACTGAAGCAGTAAATGGCTCCATTACTTCAATACTGTTCTCACTAACTAATGAGGGCATTACAAAACCGCTGTTTGTAACCTAATCCATATATTACTGGATTTTTATTTAAATGAAAAATCCCAAATGGGTTTATAACTAGGTCTTTGAATTTCAGTGGCATACACCCAAATAATTTGATAGCAAAGGTTAGCAAAGACATCCGAGATACAGCAGAAGTCTGGCATTTAACAAGAAAATGCTAAAACATTTAAGGATCCGTATCTGAAGTTGAAGGGGTAAAACCTGATGTTTGACAAGGCAATCATTGGTAACATTGTTCAAGTAAGACATCAGAAACATGCAGAGATCCTATCAAGAATAGCAGAGGACAGAGATGTGAGAGAACAGAAAGAAAAATCAGCACAGAAAGCTGCATCTTAGGTACATAGTAAAAAGTACAGCTAAACTATACCTGAACAGGTTATTCTAGAAAAAAGTTAGTCTTTAAAGGCTTTTTTTTTTTGCACCCAAGTAGGAAAAAAAAGAAAATGTGTAAAACAAACAGGAACAACAGGATGAAGATTAAGGATATTCAGGAATGAACCCCCAACCTCCACCATAGTCCTTATCTATGTTGTCTCAGATATGAAAACAACAACAAATGGAGAATAGGAACACTTTAAAAATTATTAAAGTTAATGCAGTCAAAAATAATCCATTTCTTAGAATTATGGAAACAGTGCCACATAAGATTGTCCTTTCTAAAGTAAAAACTTTAAAGAAAATATCTCTTCTGTAATGACTGGGGAACAGCAACTATATTGCCTTTTTTTTTTTTTTCCAAGAGGGAAAGCACAGACAAATATATACAATCTAATAACATGTAAAAAATAATACAAAAAAAGCATACAAAAAATGAAAGGAGTCTTAGATAACATTGTTAATGAAAAAACAGGTTATAGTTCAAGTTTAATAAAGAGATTGTACCAAACAAGCTGTGTAACAGTTATTCAAAACCAGAGCTGCCTAACAGCCACGTTCATCAAGGTGATACAGTTGTGAAGAGGGCAGATGCCATTCCGGAATGTACTCATTGGAACGGAAAGAGTCAGTGCCATTGTACAATACCCTGGTGATACCATCTCTGGAATGTTATACATAATTCTCATAACAGTTAAAAACACACACACGAGAAATTTCAAATTGGAGCAGCTGCAGAGAAAGGCTGTGAGGGTGATCAGCTGACGGGAGACTGCAGAGTATGAAAAATACTTAATTTAGTCAGTCTAGCAAAAAAAAGCTAAGAAGAGGTTCAAATTCGATCTACAAATACAGATGAGACAAGCACCATGAAGGGA